GTACAAGGGGAAACTAAACTTCAGTGAGGACAACTAACAGACTGCCTGACTGACAACGCCGAGAAGGTGAAGACGGTGATGAAGACTCTAGCAGCCCGATGGGATTCCACTCCAAACAGCCCCGAACCTTCGCTCGGGGTCCCCTTTGATCCTCCTGCCGTGGCCTCACTCCGCCCCCGGCCACGCCACCCTTCTGGAACCTACTCGTGAGTTCCTGGACTTGTCTCACGTGCCCCCTTTATCACCTTTGCCCTATAGCCCCCTCTCTGCTTATCACGTGACCTGCTGACAGACGGGGCTGCTGCAACCACAGATCCCTTTCCCTGCCAGCAACCCGCGCTATGCTTCATAGTGACCCATTCCATGTCACTACACGTGGATGTGGCTTGGACGTGCCCTACATCGACTCGGTCTGAAATTAATACCAGATGTGCGGTGGTGGTGGTGCTTATTCAGGCAGAACAGTCCAGAACACTTGCTATTCCCTGGAATTATTTGGCACGCTACATCCATCTAAAAAAAAAGATTTTTTTGTTTAAATAAACGTTTCATATGATAATTGGGACATCATATTGAATTATGGATAGATGTAATATGTCCTCTATTCGTAGTGCCTCACATCGATAAGGGGCCGTCCATAAATGATGTCACGCAATTTTGGACAATTTTTTACCCCCCTTCGTCACACGGAGTGACAAAAAGTCACAAAGCTCTGTGCCCCCCCCCCCCAAATAAAACATGCTTCAAATCGCTTTAAACTATTGTCATTGTAGTGCGTATTTAATGTGGCGCTGCACTCTGATGTTGTAGGAGAAAACATGTATTAAAAAGTCCATTTAATTAAGTAGAACGTGTTTATATTTATTTAAAGTTGCATATTTTTACGTGACGTCACATTCCTCAAATCCTCCCCCCCCCTCCCTCGTCACACATCGTCACAAATGTCTGACCCCCCCCCCCCCCAGGTGCGTGACGTCATTTATGGACGGCTCCGAATCCCTACTCCAAACCAGCCTAGCACCCTTCCGGAAAATATTAAGTTAGAAATCAAGCCCTGATCATGAAACATCCCAGAAAACATGGAACGTTGGCACAACTTTTCATATTTACTGGGATCATGGGGCTGACCCCACCATGCTCCAGTCACGTGTTGACCTTAACAGATTCTCTATAATAACACAGCAGCTCATATGAGCAGTCTGTATGGAAAAAAAACTGCCTTTTATGGGTCCCTTCTGCTTGTATGTAGCCTATTATGTAATGCAGGATGTGCAAACTTTTTGTGTGGACTGAATAAGACGAGCATTCTGGCAGCCCTAGGTCACAACTATAGAATATATAAATATAACGCTCGGGTCAAGAGATATGTATCCAAAAGAGCTATGAGAGATGATATGTGTTCAGAAATCAGATGAGGGAGGCAAGAGATGTATTCAGAATAAATGATATATGTGTAGAGGAGAGAAATACACGGTGTGCACAATTAAGCGGGTGCAACGGAGGGCAAACAGGTGTGCGTGTTGCAACATGAGGTTTGCACCGACAAACTGACAGTAGTTAGGGGGAGAAGCGGGTGCAACGGAGGGCAAACAGGTGTGCGTGTTGCAACATGAGGTTTGCACAGACAAACCGACAGTAGTTAAGGGGAGAAGCGGGTGCAACCGAGGTCGAACAGATGCTACGCTTTGAAGCTTTCGTGACTGCAAGGATTCATCTTCTTTGGTTCTTTCGGTAAAGTCACGTAGAATGAGAATAAAATAATAAAATAACACACATAGCCATTCCTGTGACCAGTCACAAGCTAATCCCTTAGCTATTTCAATGCTAAATTACTAGTTGCCTCTGTGGATGTGTAGGTTTTGACTTTAACATAGCCATTTCCGTGACCAGTCACAAGCTAATCCCTCAGCTATTGATATGTAACCCCCTTTGTCAAGGTGCCTCACTTCTCCCAACCAGCTTAAAAGTCGCTACGAATCTTAACATCGTTCATTGAAGCTCTGTCGTCCCGACAGTTCTGTACCTTTCACCTGAAGACGGCCGCTTGCGTTGTGGCCGAAACGTCGTGAGAATTTTATTGTGTTATTTTATTATTTTATTCTCATTCTACGTGACTTTACCGAAAGAACCAAAGAAGGTGCTACGCTGTGACCGGAGGTTGGTGCCTAGAAGATGGGAGATGGGGGGTGATGATAAGAGATTAATGGGACAACTGGCGTCGGCCTGGCGGCAGCTTACATAGAAGCATGTGAGGATTCTGGATGAGCAGGGGGATATAAGCGGGAGTGTGTGTGAGTGAGGGGAGTTGTTGCCGGGAACCAGGAGTGAAGACAACTCGCCGTTGCTGCTCCAGCCGTCTTGAGAGCTTGGATATTCTGACTACACAATCCGCAAAGCCATCACCCCAACCGTGAGGAAGGAGCCATCTGAAGATCCAATTAAAACCATCACCTTGCCTTACATAGCAGGGATAACCAAAAATATTTCCAAAATATTGAACAAACACAAGATCCAGGTCCGATTTAACAGTGGATAAAATTCGTGATCTGATCCCATCTGTGAAGGACAAGATTCCTGACATGCAATATCTCGGCGTCTACAAACTAAGCTGTATCTGCGGCAGCAGTTACATTGGGGAAACTAAACGACATGTCTCGGACCGTGTTCGTGAACATAAGGCAGATCTGAAATACGGCAGGACCAATATATCTGTCGTGGCTGATCATTACTTTAATGCGGCTGGCTCACATTAAATTGTTTTCTCTAAGACTATGGTATTTTGCAAGCCGACTGGCTATCAACAAAGATTCGTTCACGAAGCCATCCATATATACAGACACAGACACAATTTAAACCGAGATGACGGTTATAAATTCAGCAATCATTGCAAAGGTGTCATCAACCACTTTGGGTCATGACTTGATTTGTGTTTTTTTGTCAACCTCTACCGTCAGCAGTGTGGATGGGTGTAGCGTGGTATAATGCCCCCCCCCCCAGCTCTACCTCCCTCTCTCCCCCCTATCTCTACCCCCTTCCTCCCCCCAATTGTCTAACACACTTGGACTGCGCGCTTTAGTCCTACTTCTCGTGCTCCTACATTGGTGCTGGCTGCCCCGCCCATACTGTTTACGCCGCACAGCTTTGCTCACTTTGAAAGCCCTTAGGAGCAGTTGCATTTGGAGGCTTGCCCCCTCTTTTCTCTCCGCCTGCTGAAGACCGCTTGTGTTGCGATCGAAACGTCGTGGGGTTTTTGCTTTTATTTTTAATTTATTTAAAATTGTATTTGATTTGTATTTTCTATCTACGTGACTTTACCAAGAGAGCCAAGAATATGAATTCCTGCAGTCACGAAAGTTTTAATTCAAAATATATTACATTAATGTTAATAGATTATATGCATTGCATTTAATCAATTTGGTTATTTAACTGTCGAATTAATCCGAATTAAATACATAACACGAGCATACAGGAGATCGTGTGTTCGATCCCGACCCCGACGCCTGTATATTTAGACTTTTGCATGTTACTCTCCCCGTGGTCGCGTGGATTTTTCTCCGGGTCGTCCTGTTTTTCCTTCACATTTAGAATCAACATGCATTTAGAGTATACTTTTTGGATCTTTCGGTAAAGTCACGTAGATATAAAAATAAAAATAAATCACGATGTTTCAATCACCACACAAGCAATCGTCTTCAGGTGAAATATTTTTATTATAATTTTTCTATCTACGTGGCTTTACCGAAAGACCCAAAGAGTATGAATTCCTGCAGTCACGAAAGCTTTAGGTCACCCTTTAGAGTAAATGAACCTGCAATACATTACCATAATACAGGTGTTTTTGGGTTAGATCGCGTAAATATAAATGCGTCGATAAAACTGCCACCACTCGTCACAGCCAATTAGTAAGGTTTGTTACTAAAATAGAACATGCAAATTCGTTACTAGTGCAGTGTTGCAGAGTAAAATCCACAACATTTACATATTTCGACATTATAAGCCACTTCGTTGGCCTAACATTTGTGGCCCAGGCCGCTTCTGAACAAACTAAAAGTGCCTTATATAGCAGCTCAGTGTTGGCTTTGCTTGGCAAAAAACACTAAACATCACTTTGGTATATAAGAATACTACTTTGTCTCCCCAGTGGCGATGTTCATACACCACACCAATTACAGTCATTGTTTGAGGCTGAGTCGACCTAGGGGACGCCCAGGACCGGTTCAAATAATCGTCACCGGTGGTGGCCGTGAGCGGGAATCGAACTCGGGAGGCCGGGTTCGTAACGGGGCGTGCTCACCGCTACACTACAATGCGTTACGCTTCCACATGCGAGGGTCACGTGACAGATTTGACGTCACAGCTCACTTGCCGTGCAAAAGATAAATGCATTATTGAGCTCCCCCCTAAAAAAAACAAAAGCGAATGTTTATAATGTTTGCATGGTGTACAGTCTGGAAAGTACCCACATGGGAAATTTCAAGTTTGTTGCATGTCGGGAAGTACGCTAAACTTTTTGAACAGACACACATATTCACAACTCTGCCTTTTATATATATGGAGATGTTTTACCCTGAGCTCGCAATGTCCTGATAGTGCATTGTCTATGTGCTGTTCGCCTTTTTGGCCTAACACTGTTTGAGACTCGGCTCTAAAGAAAGCTATCTCTGCTGTGGACCAATCAGTTTCAAAGACAATGCATCACATACTACCAGCCCACGTTTTTTTGTCTGTTTGCATGCATGTTCACCACAAAGCACATGTGGCGAATGCGGGGCATGAAATCCTTGAAAAAAGGTTTCAGTTTTTGTGCATTAACGTCTTCACGCCTGCTGTTCGATTGGCAAAATCGTTGGTAAGTTGAATTGAGGCGTGTGTAATCGATCAAATTCTATTGGATGCCATTGGCGGAATCTCAGGCGTATTGGCTCCATGCGCGTTCCGGGGCCCCTCACGTCCGCCGCGTGCCCAGACCTGCCCGGGCAAGATCCTCCAACTCGGTAAGTTGAGCGGCGTTCAGCCATCCTTCGATAACCAACAGCACCTAAACAAAAATAAACTCGCAACATTTGCTATTGCGTATAAATAATGCTAAACCCAAGGCTATCAGTGTAACAAAATGTCAGGAATTGTGTTCTAAATACGGGAAGTCTGCCGAGTGTTTTTTTGTGTGTGTGTGAGCGCAGCGTCGCCTGAGTCGCTAGGCCGCACTCAAGCGCTTCGAGTTGTTGATTTCATTTGAATTTAATTCGAATTGTTTTAAGCTGTAACTTGAATGTATTGATTTTGAAATGGTGTGTTGGAATGGTTAGTTTATTGTTAAGCGAGCACAGTGGAGTTATTGAATAACAAAACGCTGCAGGCGCTTTGTTTACCTCGCCCGCGCGTGAGCCTTTTGTGTTCGAAAAGCCTGTTTAATTAGGCCTAATTTTCTAATAAAAAAAAACAACCCTGTCCAAAAATGTGTATTATTTGCAAACGATTGCATGTCGGTGCTCTTTTAGAGTAGCTTTAATTACGTTCTAGTCGGTAATTGAATGCAACTTTTTTGGGGTTTAAACGAATAAAACACCTTACCGCGACCGCCGCGGCCCGGTTTTGCTCGTAAACCTCGGTCTCGCCTGAATTTTGGCCGGAAATCGGGACACGCGGCCTCGCATCGGAGATCTCCCGGTCTGCGTAGGCACGTATGTTTTCATAACCGATGCCATGTAAAAATAAACACCATTTTAACAATTGCATTCGTTTAAAGTATGTATGTTTTCTTAAAGCTGAATTACGTGTTTTAAATGACGGACAATGCTGTGCGTTCCAACCCCGTTTCCTTGGGAGTCACTGAGCGTCTGCATCGGGTTCGATACCGGATGCCGCCGTCAATAATAAAGCAGCGTTTCTCTCGAGCATTTGACAAAATGCCTCATGGATACAGCAAATGCACACGTGCGTTATTTATAACACAGGTAAAGATGTTATCCAAGCCATTCTATGCGCCACCTGTCCAATCGGCTTGTGCTGTTTTTTTAAAGGCAACGCGCACATTTTTTTTACTCCACATTTTAAGACGCGCGTAGTGATGCGAATGGATTACTGAATGTGCTTATTCCAATCAAATGTGTTACGTGTTACCTACCCAGTGTTATTCTTCAGAGCACAACACGTGTGCTATGAAAAAGGGACGTTGCCCATAAATTCTCCTGTTATATAGTTGCATTTTTAGACTGTTATTGACGAATGAGCTTTTTTCCCCATTGTACTTGTGCAGCACTGCCAACGCAACGTCATCAAATAATATTGTATGTGTTGTATGCAACTGCATTTTACTTATTGAATGTACCTCTGTTAATTGTTTATAAAAGGGTTTCTGTAATGCACTGTATGTTATTTATTATGAATCGATGTAAAGTTTGTATTAGTGAGTGTTTGTTTATTAATGTAGCAAGTATTTAAGTGTATGTATGCTGGTGAAGTGTAACATTGATTACAATTTAAAATAACGTGCTCACGTTTGGCGAATCGTACGCCTTGTTCGAAAACTCGGAGGCACGGAACCAGAGGTCAAAAGAGTCCCCCCCCCCCCTCGTATACCATCCTGAACCGGTGAGCCTTGAGCGCGTGCTTGAAGGTTGATGATGCTTGGATGCAGTGTGTGTGCAGGGGGAGATGGGATTGGGTAAATATATATGAGAAAGTTTGGGACTATAGTCAGGAGCAGACTCATGTCGACCGTTACTCTCACACAGATGCGTCGAAGGTCGTTTTTTTCTTTGTAGTTGTGTTTGAGCAATTGTTTGTTGCTTGTCTTTGTGGCTGTTTTGTGTGAGCAGTTGTATTTGCATATGTAGTTGTTAGGGAACTTTTTATGGTGTGTAATTGTGGTTGGTTCTGATTTAAGTTGTGGCGGTGTATGGTTTTAGTTGGAGTCGTCGTGGTGTATGGTTGTGGTTCTTTGAGCTCTTTTGGTATACAATTGTGGTTGTTTGCGCAGTTAGCATTTAATTCTACCACGTCATCAGCTTTAACATTCCGAGCATACATCGACATTCCTAGCAAAGAAAGCTGTCTGGTGTGGACCAATCCGTTTCAAAGACAATGCACATACTGTCAGAGCATGTTTTTTTGTTTGCATTTTCATCACAAGTATATGTGTTTTAATGCAGACATGATTCCTTGCAAAGGTTTCAGTTTGGTGAGAATTTTATTGTGTTCTTTTATTTTATCAATTTATTATTTTATTCTCATTCTACGTGACTTTACCGAAATAATCAAAGAAGATCTTAACACCTGTGTTATTGCCAGCAAGGCAAAAACCCTACAGTATTATAATTCCTAGCATAGTTAATATGGCTGTACTACAAAGTTTTAAAACGAACAATATTGCGTTTCCACAGAGCGACATCAATACACACATTTCACTCTCGTGCATTCTTTTCTTGCAGGCCTCTCGCTGTTGTCACTAAATGCTGAGTTAATTTTATGGAGGTGGACACCCACATCACAAACGAGGGTGTGCACCTCATCAGACACGGCTGTCCTACTTAAAAGGAGAAGTGTTAGTAGTAGCCGTAGACAACATTGGGCGGATGTGCCATGAGGCCCTGACATAATCTTGATTTTGTAAATCGCCTTTCCTAACGAAATCTGAACAAAACCTAGGTTTTAAACATAAAAAACCTATAGGCAATACTGCATGAGTGTTAAGATTGTAATCTAATATTCGCTGTAAAGAATTACAATGGAAAGCTGCAGCCAGAGAGGGAGGAGCCAAGTGTGTGGGTGTGACCAGGTGTATGATTGACAGCTCTGTTTAAGACACTTTTCCAAGGCCAAAAGCTGTTCAGCTTCTCACGCATTGAGACAGGAGCAACTAAACAGGAAGTGAATGTAATTTAAAAACAGGTCCAATAAACTCAGTGTTGTATTAACTTTTGAGCTTTAATGGGAGGTTTACATTATATGATAGAGCTTTATTCACTGGAGAATTTTTGTTATCAAAGGTGTTTTTTAAATGTGGTGTTTTCTCTGTATATATTTGTTTAGTGATGGTTACATGCATTGTATGCGGGGTGGATTGTGCATATTGAACGTCTGCAAACGTGAAAGCGGTGGTGCTTACAGCTTTCAACTTGGGGGGGACCATTACATTTCCACTTTGACCTTTATAAGGAATTTCAATAAGCCTTTTTGACCTTTATAGGGTATTTAAATTTTAACCTTTCCGTAATGGATATTTTTGCTACGTCCACCTTTTATAGGGGTGATGATGGTCTGGAAGCAATGTAAGAAAGCTGCATTTTTTATTTCATTATATGGCTATGTTAGCGTGTCATGTACATATCTACAAAATAAATTTGTATCACCTTGCGTATACAGAGCTTGGCTATGCACTGCTGTGGTAGTGCTTGGTAAATTTGAAGGTTGCAAATTCAAATACCAATCAATTCCATCCAGATCCTAGGTCGAGGAAATGTTTACCCCTTTACAGGAAGTTAGCAGTGGTTGCGCGATTGAAATACAAATTAACTTGGAATTTCCACCTGTAGATCAGGACCTGCTCGTTTGAGCATGAGACAAATTTTAGACTTTTTGAAATTGCAAAGTAAGTTTAGAGCCCTACACATTAAAAACTACCATGGCTTGGTATGTGATAGGTGTTGTGCAAGGAAGTACTTGCCTGGCGCCCTGAGTACTCTTTCAAAAGTGGGTTTACAGATGCTGTGTTTTTGACGATACACACCGCTCCTGGGTTTCTGTTTGCTCTGTGGACATTACGTAGAAAAAAAAGTAATCACCAGCCGTGATTTATCCATTGCTGGTTGAAACTCGCCCAGGCTGTTGCCATCTCTTGCGATGCAATAATCTGACTGGCTCCTGCACATGAGCTGATTTAATCCCTTTACCTCTGTGGAAAACATCCTATCGGGCATATGCTAGTTAGACACAAAATTTATATTGTTTAGAAAAGGGGGCTTTGGCAGGACATGTCCCGATGAAGGGAAATTGGCTGGTGGTCGAGACTGAACTACGGAGTGGCAACCAAAGTTATGGAAAAGTTACTGATCCCCATTTAAATGTGAAGTTAGCCACCTAAAATGTCTAAAATAATGGTGACAGGGCTTTACTTCAGCTGGAGTTGTCCTAGGCTGAGCTCTGGAAAATATTTCCTCTCCCTCTGCCATTCAGGGAGGAGGGGAGCAGGGTTGGAGGGGGGGCAGGGCATCTGGCGCGGGGGGGGGGGGGTCCTAGAAAATAATGAATGCGAACTTGAGCCCTGGAATTGGTCTTTTTGGATATGTCTAAAGGAGTTGCTATGGCTTTGTATCAATGTGGTTGTCATGAGTTTGTGAGAACGGGTGGACTTTGAGCAGAGTACCTTCAACACAGTGCTTTAAAACACATACAAGGCTTTTAAACACATACAAGGCTTTTAAACACATAAGGCGTGAGAAGACGGGCAGGTCCCCACACGCAGTGAGCTAGCCCGGGCAAGGCCCTGCCCTCACGACCCCACAGGCATGTGAACACCCTAATTAGTCACCGCCTGCTTTGTTAAAATAATTTTTCCAGCCTTGATGGCGCCTGCCAGGCACAGCTTTGAGGGGGTGGGGTTGGTGGATCGTGATGATCATTGTGAGTGCTTGTGACAATTCCAACCTCCTTGGCTAAGAAGCTGCTGCTTGTTTTAGGCACTTGTATGCAACATTTGAGTTGAGTGTTTCTTTGATTAATCGAGTTCCTCCCATATTTACGGATACTCAGGGTAAGTCGTTGAATAAACATTCCAAGCTTACGATTAGAAAGCGTCGGGAGACTCGGTGAGGCTTTCCTGGGTAAACAAAGGACTGTTTTTACATTCGTTATTTGAAAAGACCGTACCACCTTTGACATCGGTGCTATACTATAATACAAAACGTAATAAGCGAACGTGTTGTCATCTTTTCACCTTTGGCCCTCCTTCAGAGCCTCTGCCTGAAACAGTCTTTATTTGTTTATTAAAAAATGCTGTGTTAATGATAATGGCATTGAGTTATTTTGATTAGTTTTTTGGTTTTAAGCATAGAATCGACCTTTTGCCACATTTTATAGTTTTAGTCCTTAAAACTCAGTAGAATGTAAATCAGTCATTATCTCTATATGTATATCTTGATATGGTCTTCGTGTTTATATAGTTAGAAAAGCATCACTAAATGTTATCTTTACTCTGCCATCATTGAAGGTAATAATTATTTTGCACACGCCAACATTTGTCATTGCACAGGCAGATCCTTGTTATAGGAATGTGGACTTTTCCCAACTCGCTCAAAGCTGTGGATATGAGCACGGCACAACGCTCGTAGTCAGATACACTTTGATTGCAAAAACATATCTTAAGTAGCCCAACTGTTATTTTTTATTTCTCCAGCAATATTTGTAATTAGGCCCACACTTTTTCAATTGATGTCACAGTTCTCATTTGCTCTGAGTAAAGGGCATCTCCGGGGTGGGGCACTGGCTGGAGTGTTGTGGGAGTAAGATTTTTTTTCGGTGGTGGGGGTTGGGGTTGATGATGGATCATTAGCAGAAGGTGTTGATGGAAGATTTGCACTGGTTTGGGGGACATCAAATGAGAGGAGCTTCCGGGGATGTGGTGAATAGTTGTGAGGTTTGAAGCTAGCCGAGTGGGTGGTCAGCATTGTTGTGTACTCTGTTACGTTTGTTTTCGTTTCATTACGTTCTTTTAATTGCGTTTAGGGGCGACCGTTCATGCTTTGAATGGTTTATAATTGAAATGTTAAGCTTTATTCATATTCTTTGGCATTATTGTACCACAAGAGCTTACACTTCATATCTATTCATGCCACATTTTTTAAAATATATTCATTTAAAATGAATCGTGTGTCAGTACTTGGGTAATTTACGAACAAGAATCAATACATTAACTTATAAGAGATTTGTTAAGTTATTAAAATTTAATCACATTGAA